AAGAGACTAAGTCTCGTGATTCCAAGAACAAAAATGTTGATTCCTCTAAAGTTAATGTTGCCGAAGCTAGTAAGTTTTCAAAGAACTTCAAAGTCAATAATGACAAGAAGTTCAAGAAGGCAGGTAATGGCCAAAAGAAATTTTCTGGAAATTGTTTCTTTTGTGGAAAGAAAGGCCATCGCCAAAATGACTGCAGATACAAGAAGAAAAAGGAAGAAGTGAACACCAACAAGGCCAATGACGTTGAAGAGAAATCCGAAGACATATGTGCTATGGTCTCGGAATTGTAAATTGGCATAATTACCGAAACTAACATGGCTGTATTTAAATCCTCCGATTGGTGGCTTGATTCCGGTGCCACAATCCACGTTTGTAATGACAGGACTATGTTCTTATCTTACAAAGTGGAAAAGGAAGGACAAACAGTTCTCATGGGGAACAATGATGCAGCGATGGTTGCCGGGAGAGGAGTGGTGGAGATTAACTTTACTTCCGGAAAGAAGCTTACATTGAACAATGTACTTCATGTTCCTGATATTAGGAAAAATCTTGTATCCGCTAGTCTTATGTGTAAGAATGGACTTAAGATTGTACTTGAGAGCAATAATTGTATAGTATCTAAGAATGGGATCTTTGTGGGAAAGGGGTATTCTTGTGATGGCATGTACAAACTAAGCGTTAATAATAAAGATGATGTGAATTCTCTTTATATTGTTGATTCTTTTGATGTTTGGCATGCACGTTTAGCACACTTAAATTTTAGATCTTTGAAATACATGTCTAAACATGGTTTGATTAATTGCAAAGATATTAAAAATGATAAGTGTGAAATTTGTATACAAGCAAAGATGACTAAGAAACATTTTCCTAGAGCCGAACGTAATACTCAAATATTGGATATGATTCATACCGATATTTGTGAGTATAATGGAATTTTGACTAGAGGAGGAAAGAGATACTTTATCACTTTTATTGATGATTGTTCTAGATATACTTATGTGTATTTACTTAGAACAAAAGATGAAGCCTTTGATAAATTTAAAATTTATAAGGCTGAAATTGAGAACAAAAAAGATAAGAAGATCAAAATGGTTCGAAGTGATAGAGGTGGTGAATATTTCTCAAATGAATTTGATGCTTTCTGTGAAGAGCATGAAATTATTCATCAAAAGTCAGCCCCTTTTACTCCTCAACAAAATGGACTGGCTGAAAGAAAGAATAGAATCTTTACCGATATGATTAACTCTATGCTTCTTAATTCTAAATTGCCTAATAATTTATGGGGGGAAGCTTTACTTACTGCATGTCATGTTCACAATAGGATTACATCTATGAAATCACATGTCTCTCCATATGAAGTATGGAAAGGAAGAAAACCAAACTTGATGTATTTAAGGGTGTGGGGCTGTCTAGCCTTTTATAGAATTATTGACCCTAAATCATCAAAGTTAGGAGCTAGAGGTATTAGAAGTGTTTTCGTAGGTTATGCTGAAAATTCCAAGGCTTATAGATTATTGAATCTAGATTCTAATGTTGTTGTGGAATCAAGAGATGTTGAATTTGTTGAGAACAAGTTTAGCCTTGATTCTACCATTGAATTAGAATCTAATGTTAATCGACCATATGTTGACGTTCCCGGTACATCTACAAATAAAATGAAAGAGTTAAACTTATTTGATAAGTTGTTCAATTTAGAATTCAAATTAATTTAAGTTTGACTTAAATTGAAATTTGAATTTGAGTCAAAATTGGACTACAGGATAAAAGATGATTTTTCTCATCCTTCCCGATCAGAATTGGCGCCACACACAGGGTTAGAAAACCCTAAGGGTGGCCAGCCACATTAGGGATAATGTGAGGAAATTTTTGTTGTTCAAAATTCAAAATTAGAGATAGGGATTTGATTCTGTTTTGAAGTTTGACTTCTACTCTTTAAATATGAGAATGATAGAAAATTGTAGACACAATTTTGAAATAATTTTTTCAGCCCTAATTGTTGGTGGCCGAATTTCTCATTGAAGAAAAAGAGAGCAAAAATATTTTTTTCCAAAAATTTCACATCGTGCATACATTGGTGTTTGTGAAAATTGGAGTGTTTAAGAAACCTATTTTGTCTTACGTGTGCCCATACACACGTCTACGTGGAATCTAGGAATTGACGTGAAAGACTTTGGTATTCTAAACACAAAGATTGGAGCAAGGATTGTTCGTGGTCAAAGAACTCAAGATATCATCCGAGTCGGCTTCCAAGTATTTTTTCCGGGATCAAGTTCTTGATGTAAATTAATGCGATTAATTTATTCGTGCATAAATTAATATAATCTATAGAGTATCTCAAAAGTTTTATGAAAATTTTTGTTATACACGATCCGTCTCCCCGCCACGCTTTCGCACCCGAATTCGATTCGAGAACCAGCAGAAAGATCTTGGTGAAGTAGATACTATCTTAGGCGTAAGAGTGAGGAAGCATAGTGGGGGTTACTCATTGTGTCAATCTTATTATATTGAGAAGGTGCTTCTTAAATTCAATCATTTGAAGTTTAAAGAAGCAAATACCCCATATGATTCTAATATTAAATTACTAGAAAATGCAGGCAGAGCTGTGGCACAGCTTGAATATGCTAGTGCGATCGATAGCTTAATGTATGCTATGCATTGTACGAGACCCGACATAGCATTTGCTGTATGCAAAATGTCTAGGTTCACAAGTAGCCCGGGTATTGAACATTGGAATGCAATTGGAAGAGTACTTGGTTATCTTAAAAGAACCATTAACTTGGGTTTGTCATATAATGACTATCCGACCGTACTTGAAGGGTACTCGGATGCAAGTTGGATAACAAGTGCAAGTGATAATAAATCTACATCTGGGTGGATTTTTACAATTGCAGGAGGAGCCGTCTCTTGGGCTTCTAAGAAACAAACGTGCATAACTCATTCTACGATGGAGAGTGAGTTTATAGCACTTGCCGCTGCAGGCAAAGAAGCGGAATGACTAAGAAATCTATTGCTTGATATTGAGTTGTGGCCACAACCGATGCCATCTATTTCTTTGTACTGTGATAGTGAAGCTACTTTGTCTAGAGCTTATAACAAGGTTTATAATGGTAAATCTAGACATATTAGCTTGAGACATGAATATGTTAAACAATTAATAACCGATGGTGTTATTAATATTGTTTATGTTAGGACAAACAAAAACCTAGCGGATCCTTTGACAAAAGGTCTTTCAAGAGACTTAGTCAAAGAAACATCTAGTGGAATGAGACTGAAATCTTTCTTTCTGAATTCTCTATTCTTTTCATCCTCCTAAATCCGAATTTCTCCAACAATGGGTTCAACAAGAGAGGTAGAGATTTTCTTTATTTTTCTTAGAATTAAGGGAAATTACAAAATATTATCAAAAAATTTAATCACACAAATATTATATTCGTGTTCCACATATATTCCGAAATCAAAATATATATTCAATCACAAAATTACTCATGTTTCAATTTATATGAATAATTTTGTGATTGTATATACGTTTAGATTTCAAAATATAATGTACAATGGAACACGAATATAATATTATACTTTGCAATTTTATAGGTTTATTATTACAATAGTAAGATGGTATCATGCAATTACATCAAAAATACAATATGACTAGTCTTTAGCATAAATTTGATGTCTCAATTTTACACATGCAAGCCTTACCAATTTTTCCTACCCTACGAATTCTCTCTTCTGGATTTTGTATGAACGAGTAAAGTGGGTCCAAGAAGTTACACCATTGACGATTTCACCAAAAAGATGAAAACCCCCTGACGCCAATTTAGAGAAAAGGCTTCTATTATTGAATAGTTATTACCGATATGTTTGGCCATTGCATGACGCATTACAAGTTCAGTGCTCAACAAGACAGCTACTTATGTTTCAATCATTATTTCGGTGAATTTAATATATCAGGTTAAAAAGTTGTACCAGATAAAACAAAGAAGTCATCCAGATAAGACAAAGAAGTCATCAAGGACGTCTCATTCATAGCTAAACTGAGCCCAAGCTAGGGGGCATCAAACATATGTTCTTTACAACATCAATGACTTGAAATACTTGTAGAAGAAACTCGGCGAAAATTTACACCTTGTAGTTGGCGGAGCATAAAGAGCATTCTGGAAAAACTCGGTTGTAAATCACAGTCGCAGCTCTTAAAACAAGCTTATTTCTGATTATGAAATGTTGGGAAAGGCAAGCTTATTTCTGATTATGAAATGTTGGGAAAGGCAAGCTTATTTCTGATTATGAAATGTTGGGAAAAAAAAAAAAAAAAAAAAAAAAAAAAAAAAAAAAAAAAAAATTATTGGAAACAAAAATAAACCAGCCTTTGAAAGCTTTGATGAACAACAATTGCCAAAAAAGGAACAGAATATCTGAAGCCAGACCGCTGGACAATGGTTGGGAGGAGATAAATTATATGAAAGAAACTAGTATCTGTTCCAGTAGGTCCTGCGTCTGAACCAGTTGTAGTCGGGCAAACCCTGGATGGGACCCATAGCTGCGATTGCGATATCCTGTAAAGACCATGCGAAACAGATATAGTTTAATATCCCAGGTTTTCATGTGATAATGGAGGATTATCATAATGTCCTTAAATTAAGTCTGGTTAAAAGGGTCGAGGTAGATTGTAGTCTCACCCTGTCATAAATAAATTGGTTTGCAACACGTTTGATGGTGCTTGCGTCAACGGCATCAATCCTAGCAAACAGCTCGGCAAATGGAATTCTCCGTCCATATGTTAGTAGCTGCAAGCAAATGCGCACAATGGGTATGAGGAAATTCAGAAGAGCCAAGTGTAGCAAAAACCAAATCCCAATAAACCACTAAAATGTCAGTACAAAAAAAACAAAAAAAAAATGTACAATGTGGACATTCTAAAACTTTGAACTGATAAACTCTCAAATGGTTTTCTGTAGTAGTGTCTCCAGAGAGTGGCAGCATGTCTCAAGATGCCCTCTACTAGGAAGCACTAAAGGGTGATAACTGATAACTAAAAAAGGACCTGTAAGGCTAGTCAAAACCACCACCCATCCACATGTTACAACAGGGACAGCTAAAAGGTGTAAATTTCTTCGTTTTACCTACTACTTCTAGTTTATTAAGTTGATACCATTGTTTTTTTGTTATCTTGAACAGATTGTACAGGTAATAAAATAACCATGAAACGAGTACATCCACTGAACAAAAGAGCAAATAGTTTGTAATGAATCCCAATTTGGAGTACCACTGTCCCATAATATTTACTAACAGAGAAAAATGTACCTGACGACCAATATCTTCTGCTATAGGACTTGTCCCATCAATATGAAGCAGCAGAGAAGATTTCAACTGGAAAAAAAAAAGATTAAAATGTTTTAGTAATTATGAGTAGGGTGACCGTGTCACATGTTACTAAAAAAGAAATCATAATGCACCATCAGAGTAACATAATGTTTATCTAAAAACTAAAAGATTACACAATTGCTAGAGATATCAATATATAACTGCAATAACATCTGTTTGGGGCAAGTGAGACAACCGCTTCAGGTAATAGTTCAGTGTACCAGTTTACGATGCACACTTTATACCATATAAAAAAATTGTAGGGTTCAAGAAAAAAATTAGCCCAGATGCAAGTTTAGGACATGGAAAAAGCATTGTGCCACTATAGACTGAGAGATGGCTAACCTGATTACGAGCACGGATAACATCCTCTTCTGAAACTCTATAAGCTAACTTGGTTGTCTCATGCATTATTGCCCACGCCAGGTCATCTAAGCAATCCGCCTGAAAAAGACAATAAAAGCAGTAAATATAATTTCCATTTTGAAAAATCAAATAAGTGATATACCATAGATGAGAATAGCATAAAGCATTTTTTGATGATCTTTAACTGGGTTTTTGCCAAAAATGGATATCCAAATGAAAAAGACAAAATCTTCACTAAAGCATACTTGTTGAAATTTGTGACGAGTCAGAATTGGAAAGAGGAACAAGATAGATTAGTACAAAATTCTAACTGTTACAGAACAAGATTTGAAGCAGTCTAGAAAAGAATCAACACGGTTATGCATGTTCTTTCTACTTATCATTCAAAAGAGAGCAAGTAAATATGGAGTGAGTTAAAGAAGGAAGAGAACCTTAGCAACAGCATAAACACCAAAAAGTCCAGTGTCTTTGTAATTAGTGTTGAAAGCCATGAAGCTTTCTGCAATTTCACTGATTCCAACCCTCTGTGCCAGCTCGGAACTGTTTGCAAATAAGCCAAAACTTAGAAATGCTAGTTCTTCAAAGAGAAAAGATGTTAAAGGTTACTGAAGCAAAAGAGACAGAAAAACGCTCACCCCATGTGCTTTCCACCACCAGCGCCCTTATTCCATGAACCCAACATAGCTTGCATGACCATCAACGCAATGGAATCTGGATCCGTCCAAGATGCTCCACTAAAAGCAACCGCGAATTGTGCAAGAGGAATATCGTCATCAATGATTCTAACCTGAAATTTACAACAATGAACATAAGGATAGCTCAGTGAGTGAAAAATCACAACACTAGATGAGAACAAATAGGATCATTTCCAACCTCAGAGCCAGTAAAAATTGCAGGTTCCTTAGCAACTAACTGAGAAGCTGTTGTTGAATCAGATGACAACTTTGTAAAAGAACTCTTTACTGCCCCAACAATATCTTCATGCTTAACAGCTCCAGAAGCAACAATGACCTGAAACAGAAGTTGCAACAGCACAAACGATAAGTACTTCAAAAAGGAAGTAGAAAAATATCTACATTTAGAAGAACAAAAGATGGAAAAAAAATCTCCAACATTTACATAACATAAAAAGGTACTTAGAAAGATCAAAATTCTACAATACCGTTCTGGGAGCCGTATAGTGCGTCTGTATATAGTTCTGGAGATGCTCCTTGGTGATAGTCTTAATGTTCTTGGCAGGTCCAAGAATTGTTCTACCAAGAGGAGTGTACTGGAATGCAGTCGCGTGCAGATGATCAAAAATAACTTCCTCAGTTTGCCCCTCAACCTGCATGACCAACAAGAGACATTTAAAAAAAAAAAAAAAAAGGGAAACCAATACACTTAGACATATACAACAATATGGGAGCACGTAAAACCAAACAAAAGTCCTAAATCAAGTGCAGTATAATGCCCTCATAACAACACGCACAGAAAAAAGGGTCTCATTTATTAACCTTTCATTTAAAAGTATACTTCACAAAACCGCTAACGTTAATTACCGACCAAGTTCCACGGGATTATGGCGGACTAACACTACAGTTATTCTTCTTTGCTTCTCGTGCCTTTGCTAAAAGGTGAAAAAAAAGTTATAAATGAGGAAAACAATACGGGTTACATTTATTCCATCGATGTAAAGGAGAATAACGCTAAAGTTATTCAGGTAAAACATATTATGAATCCAAGTTCATGGGCAAGCAATCAGACTCCACAAGTTCATGCATTGTATTCTCAAGCAAGTACCACTTATATGTGAAGCAATACCAATTTGTAAATCAAAAATTGAAACTTTACAACATCGATTACCAAAGTTTAAGAGCCTTTCCTTCATATTGGCTAAAAATGAATAAAATTACCAAAGTAACATTCCAAGTGGCAATCATTAGAAAGTCCAAATTCAATGCAAAATCTCCAATCATTTACCTCCTCCATTTCCCTCAGAATGACACCACGCTCGAGACTGATCCTGTGCTCATCAAACTTGGAGTTCTGCAAGATATCAGAGAGAATATCGAGCGCCTTAGGGACGTCCTTGGCCAAGACCTTGGCGTAATACGTCGTCTGCTCCCTCGAAGTGTAGGCGTTCAAATGGCCTCCCATATTCTCAATCTCCTCCTCCAGCTCGCGCGCCGTCCTCCTCTCAGTCCCCTTGAAGATCATGTGCTCCAAGAAATGCGCTGTCCCGTTAGTCTCCTCATTCTCGAACCTCGAGCCGGCGTCGATCCATACCCCCACCGTCGCGGTCTGCGCAGCGAGGTTCGACTCCGTCGCGACTCGCAGGCCGTTCTCCAGCGTCGTGACCTTGGTCTCCGGCGCCGACAGGATCCGAGTGTGGTCGGTCACGGCCGGGTGGGGCGACCCGTACTTGAGGAACCTCGGGTCGGGGTTCTCGAGCTGCTGGAGCTTGGATTTGACGGCCTCGGCGAGGCGATCGTAGATCATAGCGTCCGGAGGCGGAGGCGACGGCGCCGGTGACTGCGACGTTGCGATCGCCGGCGAGGTTGATGCGCCTCGAACCGCTTGGGACAGGAAGGGGTGGACGGGGACGGCGGCCCGTCTGCTGGACCGCCGGGCTATGGTGGTAAGGAGATGCTTGATCGGCATGGCTCCGATGGCGCTAGGGACGAGACCAAGCTCTGGTGGATTTCTAGGGTTTACAGTGGGCCGATTCGAGAAATGGTGATTGCGGAGAAGATCGTAGAGAGAGAGAGAGGGTGCTCTAACAGATTTCACTTGCGGTGGTTTTCTATCTATCCGAAGATTGTTAGTGGGTTAAACGTGAAAAACGACGGCGTATTATCTTCCTGTTACTGGGCTAGAAAAGTTCATTGAAGCCCAACTAAGAAATTACTATGGCCCCACGAAAAACGGTACCGTTTGGATTGCTATTACTGGGCTAGTTTTGATAAAGCCCAATTGGACAGTTATTATGGGCCAAGGGCTCATAAGAAAGTGGGGTCGAAGTCCGCACAAATGAGCCCTAGGGAGCCCCTATATATGGAAACGAGATAACGAAAAGAAAAACCCTAGTGTGAGAAGAGAGAGCAATTGGAACGCATCAGCCTCCTCGGAAGCACCCCCTGTACCCTTTGAGGCGGAAATCTCAGCTGCTCAACGACTCCGACAAGAATGGCAACTGCGAGGACAGTCAAGGATGTCTCGCCTCACGAGTTCGTGAAGGCTTACGCTGCCCATCTCAAGCGATCCGGCAAGGTCTTTCTTCTGATTCACTTTTTTCTGTTTGATTCTCGAGAAAACAAAGGAAAATCAGTAGAATGCGATGAGAACAACCCTAACTTTTGCCTTTCCTCTTTACTTGCTTTTTTTTTTTTTTTTTTTTTTTTTTTTTTTTTTCGTTTTCCTGGCTTCTGTGATAAATAAAAATGAAAAGCATAAGACTTTGGTCTTTTTTGTTGTTGCAAAATCGTGGCTGATCTTTTTATCTAATTTGTAAATTTGAGTGTAATATTAAGTTACTGATGCAATATATTTTGTTTTTCGTGCTGTATACGCTCTGGATTCTTTGTTATTTATTTTGAGTGTTGAGATTTGCAATAATGTATAAACGAACCTGATTTACCTAATAATTTGTTTATGTCCTTCAGTTGATTTTTGCAGAAAGATAGTAGAAATGTTTGGGATTAGTAATTTATCATGGACTAGAGGGAAGCTTTGATTGTTGTTAGAAATAATTTGCCCATTAAGTGTTGAGTAAACATCTATTTAGCAATATTGTTTTTGACAAGTATTAGAGGTTAAACCAGAATTTTGGGAGCCAAATCTGTTTAGTTTTTTGGGTAAGTTTGAAATCATTATTTTATCAATTGTTATGACAGATTGAGCTTCCTGAATGGACGGATATCGTCAAGACTGCACAATTCAAGGAGTTGGCTCCCTATGACCCTGACTGGTACTACGTCAGAGCTGGTATATATCTTCACACCCAGACTCATTATTTACGCTATTAATCTTAATTGGATATGAGTGGTATCTTTTATGCTTTGATGCTTTTATTTTCATAACATTGATTCATTTTTCTTTTGCAGCCTCCATGGCTAGGAAGATTTACTTGAGAGGAGGTCTTGGCGTTGGTGCCTTCCGTAGGATCTATGGTGGAAGCAAGAGGAATGGAAGTCGTCCCCCTCATTTCTGCAAGAGCAGTGGCGCCATTGCTCGTCACATTCTACAACAGTTGCAGAACAACAACATCATTGAACTTGACCTGAAAGGGTAAGCTATGATTTACTGGTCTTCACCTTTTTAATCTTCTCATCCTTAGTTGTCACTTGCGAGGGTTGTTTCTCTCTATGTATTTGTATGCTAGAGTTCGTTGGAAATGCTTCTTTAGATTGTGGTGTAGATAATGTTAATAATCTTACAAACATCAAACACTTCTGCTGTGTAAAATGTTATCAAGATTCAGAGAGAAGTTTTAGCATATATCTTAATTTGATTTGAAATCTTACATGGTTTGTCTTTCCCTTCCTGATATAGTACCATTGACCTCCCTTCCACACATTAATTCTGGTGAAACTATTCAGGGAAACACTGTGTTTACCATGTCATGTGTTATCATAATATGTATTTTACTTAATAATTCGTTTTGCTCTTCCTCTTTGTAACAGAGGAAGGAAAATCACTTCCGGTGGTCAACGGGACCTTGATCAAGTTGCCGGGCGCATTGTGGTTGCTCCATGAACAGTGGACTTTTGAGCACTTGAAGACCGCTAGCCTATATGGATGCCTTTAGGGTTTTAATATTTTTATTTAGTTCTATGTGGCTACAGCATATTGTTTTAGACAATTTTGGTTCAACTGCCGAGTACCTTCTGAGATAAACGTGGTTGCTATTTTGTTTACTTGAGTAGTTTTGAAATATTTTCTTAATTTCCAAGTTTTTGTCTCCTCGAGTGTTTTCTATTCTCATGTGTATGAACCAAAGCTTTAAAGTGACATGATTCCTACCTAGGACTTCTCAAGTGCTTCTCGTTGCATGTATGGACTCAAGAGTTTTTTATGATTTCTCCGCCATTTCTTAAGAAAAAAGAATATTGGGATTTGAAAATGGCAAAAGAATATTGCATTTTTCTAATTCGAGGATGATCTTAGATCCAAAAGACGCCGATAAATCGTGATTCCATTAGCATTTCTCAGCGTTGTTTTTTCCTTTCTTTTTTCAGAGAGCTAACGGAAAACTGTTCTTAACATACAATTTCCAACACAACTCAGTCATTAATTTCATTCAACCATACTAATTCATCAACGAAAGAGCTATTAAAAAACTTGATAATACATCCATCAACAAATTTGTAAACTCATTACAAAAAATGAACCGCTTGCATCATTCATGATGCATCAAAGCCACTGAATATTTAAGCCCACATCCTATTCCTACAACAGAGAACTTTCTTCGGAGAGAAGGCCGGGAAAACTCATATCCGAAGCTGCCACAGTAAAAGTGCAAAACCTGATGAAATCCCAACACCAATCTTTTGAGACGTTTGAGATTTTTCACTTGCATCTATATTAGAGTATGGGAACCTCCAAAAAGTACACAACTGGACCACGAGTCTTTAGAAGCTATTTTGTTCCATTGGTGAGAACAATGTTTTTACCATTTTGGATTAATTTTTCAATCATAAATCTGAAAAAATTATATTTAATTAAACGAGATTAATTAACAAAATTCAAAAATAATAAATATACAATATCCAAAATATATTGCTCTTTCTTTTATAAATAATGTTATAACATTCCACAAAATTTAAAATTATACAATTCTGAGACAATATCGATCAATACAGTTTATATACAGAAATACAGTATAACTCAGAATTAAAAAAAACTACAAATTCAGAATAAAACGAACCACTTCGAATCTCGAGCCTTCAATCTATTGGCATCAACTTACCACGCTTCAAATCACCTGCTAACTCTGGAGGGGAAAAACATTTAAAGCAAGAGTAAGCCAAATGCCCAGTAGGGGAAAAAGGGACAATGACAATAAAACAAAGAATGTGAAATAATCATAAAGACTCGAACACCATCGAAAATAAAATGCATAACTCAAATGCAGAAGATGATAATGTGTGAAAAACACCTAATCATGACTAATGCAGTCAAATGTAAAGTCAAGCAGATAATCAAGTATTTGTAAGCTCTTTTAAAATACTATATCATTTTCAAATCCATTTCAAAAGTGATAAGGTACCCGGTGTCTAAGTAGTCTACAAATACTGGGTATTTGTAATTCTATTAGACACTAGAATATCCAAACAATTTTGAAAATAAGTAAAGATAAAATTCATACGCCGGTAGTTTGAAATACTCTTTTAAAATACCGATGCGCAGTTTAGTGCAAAGCCAAATCACCACCCACGCTGTGGAGTGGCATGCCCCTAAGGATACGATCTCTATATCCTGATCTCTGTGGCCATCGTGCTGAAGTCAACTATCTAAAATGCTCATTAAACAGCATTTGAAAACTCATATATATCATGCTCGAATTATTTTCATTCGAGACTTAATATGTTTTCTAAAATTTACTTATGAAAACCATGATTAGCGAAAGTCAGGTTTTCGGGAAGGTTTTCCTTATATATACAATCGCTATATATATATATACATGTATATACAAATATACCTTTCAGAATCATTTTTAAAGTCTCAACATCAATGAAAATTGACTTTTACACAGATAAATGGAAATCTATGAAGTATGTCCAAAAGGGGAGAGAAATGCAATCTCATGCTCAAACAAGATCAAAACTCAAGAAATGAGCATGCTAAGATCAATAATCTGTAAAATATCCACGAATGCATAAACAACAATGCAAAAGTGTCGTACTCTAATAAAATCTATTATGTTTCCACCACGCATGTCAAGTGTTAATTTATCTTCTTTAAACACTTTTTTCGTTTTCCATTAAGAGTCTCATATGTAGTGTCAAAATAAACCTCAAAGACTCTAAACCATCAATTGTTACTGTTTGTTTACCAATCCATCCCAAAAGCTTAAGCTGTTAGGAGATGGGTCAACAATAGTTTTATACTTTAACACTCCCCCTCACGTGTGGGCTGGACAATGGGCAATCGTGTGGGTAAATTAATTGGAAAGCCCAACACGTGAATATTTAAGCCCGAGATACATTAAAGACCCAACACATGACAATTTTTAAATGGGGATAAAGAGTGCAATTACGGGGGTTTGAACTCAAGACCTCCCGCTCTGATACCATGTTAGTTTACCAATCCATCCCAAAAGCTTAAACCGTTAGGAGGTGGGCCAACAATAATTTTATACTTTAACAGTTACACCATAAATCACTTTCCAACTCAAAACCGTATTTTTCTTAAAACAATAAATTCGCAGATTCGTCGACCTAAACAGAAATATTCATAATATATTACTCAAGTCTGCAAAAATTCCAAAATAAACTCTATAAGAAAGTAGACACATAGATCTTTCCAACGAGCTATCATATGCCCAAATTTGAGTTCTCTAAATACCTCAAAAATAGTTTTTAAGAAATCAAAATTATGTTTTTTCCTGATTTTGACAGCTTTTAGAAAGTTTCTACATGAAACTTTCAATGCGTACAACTTGGGTTACAAAACTCCAAATGAGGTGATTCTAACTCCTACACGTCACTAATGACATGTTCTAAATGGTAGTAATAGTGGTTTAGGTACTGCAATTCTATTTCAAAAAGTTTGGATCTCAGTTCTTGTTTTATCAATTCCTAAAAAAGACAGCTTTGACGACGGTTACAGGAATAATCATAAAATATTCTACACAGCCTTAAAAATTACAAAATCAGTACCGAATCGAAGTAGACATCTAGGGCTTTCTAAAGAGTAATCACAAGCTTAATTTAGATTCTGTTAAGGTCTCCAAAAACACATTATTCTATATCAAAACGTGACTGCTTTTCTGCAGAGTTTTTAGAAATCATGCTTAACTTTAAAAAGGCATTACTTGAGTTATACTTGTCCGTTGGAAGTGATACTTTGCGGCTATACGAAGCTTAGGATGTCTAGTTTCTAAATACGTATACCATTTAATTCATCACTAAGAACTCTCAAAATCCGAAAGAACCCATCCAATCTAGCAAGTACATTTGACAGTTTTTCTATTATGTTCAAAAATTCACAATACTAGAAACTATAATCAAGGTAAAATCTCAATTTAGTAAATAAGTATAAAAAACAAGAGAAGGATAAATGAACCCTACCTCAAACTTCTTCAAATCTTGAAATCAGGTTGAATTACCCATAAAAATAGAGCTAAGGCCCTCTATTTAGAAGCTTGGACAGCACCTCCCATGGAGGGGAAGAGAGAAAATCGTGAGGGAGGGAGAGAAAACGTAAGGGAGAGAGAGAGAGAGAGTCAGCGTGAGGGAGAGAAGGAAAGAAAGAGAGAGAGAATAAATATCAGAAAGGAAAGGAAAAAGAGAAAAGAAAGAAAAAGAAAAAGAAAAAGGAAAAATGAGTTTGGACTTTCTATGTAAATTTGATTATTAGACTTCAAAGCTTAATCTAAACAAAATATGGAATAGCTCACTATTGTTGTTTTGGATAATTAGTTACCGATACCTAAACTGATCAAATGACAGAAGTGTCAATTTTAAAAATAATTATTTTTTTAAAGGAGAAAAATTATTTATGTGATAATTATAACTGAAAATCGTTCACTAATCTCAGATTAATTAATGCTAACAACTAGATTAAATTAATTAATTTCAATTAATTTAACCTGTAAGAGCAGTTTTATGTAGTGTGCTGTAAATTTTTAATACGGACTCGCACATATTTAATTGTTAAAAAACTAATTTAACTAGTTAAAAATAATTGTTCCCGCCGGTGGAGTAAAATAGCTTGCTCCACTATAAAAATTCCAATGTGCTATCTCACTGATGGCTGGGGCCTCCTTCTGAGGAGACCGTCGCCTTCCACCTAAAATGCTTAGGAAAAGCCCAAAGCCAATCCCAAGGAACAATGAAGCTTCATAGGGTCTTTTTGTCTATGTGCAAGTAGTCCACATCACAGACATGTCAATTTCACCGAGCCTCTCTCTAAGACAGTGCCTAGATCGTTACGCCTTTTAAGTGGGTCAGAATTACTCGATAAGGAATTTCACTACCTTAGAATCATTATAGTTATGGCCACCATTCACCAGGGATTCGATCATCGACTCCCCTGTGATCAGATTACCAACTTCCTTACCTTCCGGCACTGGGCAAGCATGAGCAAGTATAGTCTTAATAAATATTCATGGTTTTGTTAAATTAAAAATGCCGATTTCTTAAAAATTCGAGACTTAATAATTTACTTGAAAGTAGGCTTTGAAAAAGGCCATCAGCTGCAATTTCTATTTCTTTTCTTTTTTGCTTGAGCAGCATAAAAGTCATGAAATATCTAATAAACCCTAAATGCACCAAGCTCAACAAAGAAACTGTTCCAACTGCTGCTATGTAAAGCTCCAAGCCAACATATGGAACTTATTAAATTGTTGCGGATGGCCATAGCTTGTTTCTAGCCTTCATTGCAAATCTTTTGATGCGTGAGCAACTGTATAAGAATATTATTTCTTTCCTTAAAATACATAACTTAGGAAAACAAATTTGTGAGTGAAGACTAGACCAGAACGATATTTTGACAATAAAAAACACATCAATATAGTTGGTGTATAACATGTCCCTTCACTTTATATTATGCACATATAGTCTTTTGGTCATGATTTTAGAAAAGGGGCATTTGTATCAATTATATGATATGTAGCCCAAAAAGACTTTATTAGGATGGAGAACAATTGATTACAGAAGGAGCCAGACGAATACTAAAAGAAGATTTTTTTTTTTTTTTTTTTTTTTCAGTTTTCTCTAATCTTCAAAATCTCTAGTGTTGGCTAGTGTAGGAGCCGAAGTCGCTCAACGACAGGCAGCTTTTGATCTTTTTATGTTGAGGTGCATGGAACTTCGGTTCTCTTGGTATGGTTGGATGCTTCATTGACCTTTATACAAACAAAACAAAACACAAGAACTCAATGGTCATTGCAATTAGAGTTTAAAAAGTATATTTTCTTTTACCTTCTTGGAATGAATGGCCTGTCAAAATAAGGCATAGGCTGTGCTTTTGGGACAAGCTCCTTTCTTAGCCTTCTGATTTCTTCCTCTTCTGCCATCTGCAAGAGGAAACAATCAATTCAGCATTATAGTACATGTAATTTAGTTATGGATATGATAAAACTGTCATTCTTTTTTAATAATATTTACCTTCTGCCGCCTCTCTTTTTCCATCTTATACATCTCCATCAAGCTCATCTTCTCTGCCACCTGATTGTGCACAGAAAACAGTAAAACATAGCAATGAAGATTCAGCTTTCTAGAAGAGACAGTAATAGACCAAACACAATCTATATTTATGATGACATTAGTCAGCTCCATAAATATGACTTCCGATGGGATGCAAAATGAACTATCATGTTTCCATCAAAAGGTAAGGCAAATTTATCTATCTCCTTTCAGATTTGGTATAGTACTTGAACCTGTTGTATAAACCAAATTTCATTGCCTTCCTTTACATTCAGAACACTACAACACAATACATTGATAGGCCCCCAATCCGTCTGACATATGTGAGGCGCAGGAAGAAGGCAGGGTAGGATGGTCTTTTCAGATGGGAACGGGGTAGGGAGGTCTTCTTGAGGGATGGGAGTTTGTTATGCTGTTAGCTTGTCTCAATTGCTGCAAAGAGTTAGTTTTGAGTCTCTGAGTCATGATAGTGAATAAAAGGGGAATGAGAAGGTTGAGGGGGTTAGGGAAATTTCTGGTAATCTGTAGAGCTTTCGCTCAGGGGAGAGAAAGCAGATCTCTCAAATTTTCTGCTACTATCTGTACTTGTGTCCTTGTTTACCAATACAAATTTCCCTCTCTCGGTCATTCATACCAGAGAATTTTGATATCAATTCTAATCAACATTACATTATATTTCCGGACGTTTGACTATTAGACTACCAAAATATTAAGATGGAAACTTCTTGGCGAAATTAGAAAAGCACCTGATGGTCAAACTCAGCACGCTCTACAGCTCGCACATCACTGTGAAGCTTCAGGTCGAGGGGCCTTGTTCTCTCTTTAATAAAAGGCTTTAGAAGACACTGAGATAACAAACACCAAGGAAAATGCATTGGCTCACAACATTAGTATTGACTTTCGACCTTAGAATTGATTCAAAACATTAGATTAGCAAACAAAAGATAACTTAAAAAGAGCCTAAACCTCGGGCTCATCTGTAGTCCATGGAAGGCCTTGTGCAATTGGTATCCGCAGCCTCTCTTCCTCGCCCATCATGTCTTGTAACTTCTTCAAGAACTCTTCCTCCTTTAATTTTCCCCTTTGCTGTGATGAGATAACAATTCAAGATGTTATAAGCTATTTTAATGCAAGCAAAGCTGGTTTGTCCAGAAACGCATATGAATTTAGCTTAAATATACCTCTGTTCTTAGCTTGAATGGTTTCGAGGATGTGGCTTTGAGCTTCTTCTTCTTCCATCTGCTTCCACCAATTGTGCTCACTGTTTCTGAGCTCTGCAATCAGGCCAAAAGTAGAAAATCCCATCAATTTGTGAAACATCTACACTATGCTTAACTATATAATATAGTGGAAAATTCTTACATTTCTTCGGCTCCTTCGACCTCCACTAGAATTCCTGCTTGAAATACTATAATGGGCAGAACATAACAAAGGAAACAAGTCAGAACATGAAATAACTGATCTAAAAATGCATCAAAAGTTGTATTAAACAAAACAAAGTGGGAAAAATCTCAAACCTTCCTAGGCTGCTATCCCAAGAAGACGAAACCGAAGCCCGCGGATCCAGACCGAGGTTCTCCGACGTCAAGAACAAGTCTGATGGACAAAATGAAGATGATGAAACCTGTGTTTCAAGAACACTTGGAGATTGCAATCCGGGTAACGCCCACTTCATTGCCTTCTTGTGATTCTCTTGTACTTGTTCATCCTCATGATCATTTTTCTGATCATCAGATTCCTTCGAGCTTGGTATCGAAAGAAGCTTCTCAAAGGCCTTGACCAGATGCATAACTTTCCCGCACTCAGGCACACTGTTCCGCGCCTCTTCCAACAGCTTAGCCCGCCTTCTCTTGACCGTTGAAGAACCTATTCGATTCAATGGATCAACCTCGCCTGGTTCCCCATTTTCAGACTCACTTAACACAGAAACTTCATCTTCCCCGACCTTCGCCTGATATCCATCTTCAATTTGACAGTCCTGAATCATCAAACTCTTTTCAATTTCCTCTTCCAGTTCGATCTCAGCTTGATCCACGACCTTCGGACAAGTCGAATCCGAGAGCCCTCCGCCATCTCCGGATCTGCGATTCTTGAAGAACTCCTCCTGAGACGCCCGGAGACTCTCATAAGCCACGCACAGGCACTTCTTCGAATTACCACCACCGGCCTTCTCTTTGCACTTACAAGCAACGTTCGTTCCCAAATCCTCTTTCTTTGAGTTCTTCCTCTTAGCGATCACGAACTTCCTCTCCCGGATCTTATTCCGCGGCGAGAAAACCACCGGGTTAGGGTTAGGGTTCTGGTTCTGGTTCTTCGAAGCAGATTTCTGAGACTTAGCGGATTTGATCGCAGGGGAATTGGATGATTTCGGACCAGGCGAAACATTAGGGTTCAGATTCTCCGAACACCGCAAAACTTCTCGGCTCTTGGACCGAGACCCGTGCGAATCCTTCACAGGCGTCGTTACTCCGGCGGTCTTGCCGATCAAATCCATCGGAATCTGAACCAGACGGATTGTGCAGAGAACGATGAGAGAGAGAGAGAGGGAGAGAGAGAATTTTTCGATATTTCGGAGACGATGAAAAAGAAAAACAAATGATTCTTCAAATGGCCAGAATGATGAGGAAGAGAAAAACGTTGAGCAACGAACGCTCTCTCTGTGTGTAACGGCTAGTTTTGTGGGGTTTGTTTCTGGGACGTTCGATAGGAGATTTTAAATTTTCGTTTGGCTTTTGACCGTCGGATGGTGATTGTGGGGGATAATTGCCATTTTTGGATTTGGATTTAGAACCGTTATGGTCGGGGTTAGCACCGCTTAAGGATAATGATATATAGTCGGAATTACGAAAAGACCCCCCTGCTCTGATTCTCCAACAAAGTAAAAAAGGACCCTGCTTTGTGATGAAAATTCCAAGTGACCCTAAGAGAGCGTTTGGTATGGTAAAATTTTGTAGTAATAATGAGAATCTTCTCACATTCTCATATTTAGTATAAGAATTGTTATTTTTAAATTTGTATGAATATTTGGGGTTCATTTGACCCCAAAATTAGGTAATATGAATAGTACCTAATAAAGTGTTATTCACATTCATGGAAATCTTAACATCGTGTGAATCTCACCCACACACCTAGCACAAGCCATATTCTGCCCAATCATGCCAGAGCTCTGCAGCTCCACCACCACACCAGATGTCATCGTCGCCAACCCACCACCAGTCGGTTGCCATCGCCCGGCAGCTCATGACTAGAGTCATGCAACGCCATCCATCCTTACCCCTGCAGCGCTGCCCTAAACCCATGACCACAGAATGTCATTAGAAGTCCGTCACCACTCCCAACAACGGTGAAGCAACCCATCCCTTTCTCATCACAACTTAGTTGTCCTGACCCCACACCACCATAACAGACCAGCCATCACAAAACTTGGTCGTCCTCGCAGCCCATTGATGTTGCAACTCGTCATATACCAGATCCTCTCCACCAGCAAGTCACTCGTCGCTGTCTCACCATCAGCAATTTTTTTAGTGAAAATTTTTTGTTTTTAGGGAAAATTATTATGTGGTTTTATTTTCTTCTTTGAGAGTTCTCCGATTATATCAAAAAAATAAATTACCGATAGTTTTTTACTTTTAATTATTAAATTTATATTAAAAATTATCTATTCTGCATGTTTTTTTAATGTGATGTGATTTTGATCAAATTCATCGGTGATACTATTAGCAGAGAGGCCCAGTGGAGGAAGTCCCTTCTTCTTTTTTCTGCTTGAAGAATATATATCAAGCTTTGTCATGATATAATTTCCTATCTTTTTGGGTACAACATGTTGCTTGTGAAGATAAACGACTTGTAGTTTTGTATCCAAAACCAAAGCGACATATTGATTCTACTTAAATAAGCGACAAGCTGCATTATGGGAACAGTACATGGGAAAACGGGGAAAATGACAAATCTCATACTTAAGTTACGTGGTTATCCTCAAAAGTGCATGGTGTGTGTCCTCTTAAAAAAAAGATGGCTCTTACATATGTTCACCTGGCCAGTTTTCAAGAACATCACCTTTACCATTTTTTGGACATTACAATTGGTTATATCCTTGAGATTTTAGTTATTTTTAGTTTAATTTTGTGTTTATGTGTTTAGTTTATTTTGGTTTACGATTAGTTTTATTTTGTTGTTATTTAGGATGTGTTTGGAGTTATTTTCATTTTTATTTTTCACGTTTTTTGAGAAAAAAATAAAAATGAGATAGAAACGATGTTTGGCACAATTAAAGACAAAAATAGAAATAAAAGCGATTTTTTAGTTTACTATAAAATATGAGAGAAATGAAAAATGACTTTTAGTCGTTTTTCATTTTTTGTTTCCATTTTCTCCACTCTCGAGTAGAGAGAAATATTAATAAATTTTTTATACTGAAAATAATCTCTTGAAAAAACTACCAAACGCATTTTTAAAAATAATTTCTGTCTGAGATTAAAAACGTTTTCATTTTCATTTTCATACAAAAAAACAAAATTATTTTAGAACGAGTTTCAAACACACCCTTAATTTTCCTTCCAAAATATTTATTTTTCTCATTTATCCTTAGAAGAAAATAACTTGTCGTTTTTTGCCAAAGGACATGTCGCATGCGTACATGGTTTACCCTTATGTAAAATTGGATGCCATTTATTCTCATTGGGGAAAATGATACATCTCATACTCACGCGGTTTACTTTATGGGAGATTCTTGGATAGGTTTAGGTTTAGTGTACCGATAGATCATGTTTTTTAAATCATTAAATTTATATATTTTTTAATTTTTACGTGATTTTACGTAAATACAACGGACAAAAATTTTAGCCTATGTTCTCTTACTTTATATGGTTTTCACTTGAGCTCTGACAATACTATTGAGACATATCTCGTTTCCTGTTGAAAGAAAACGGTAGGATTCTTAGCATAAAAGTACATCTCGTTTTTTATTCCTTCAAAAAACGATTTGTCGTGTACTTGTGTGGCCGTTTTCCGTCATGGGAAAAGATTAGAATGCCGTTTTCATAATCCTTGCCTGCCGTTTTCAGAGACATAAGTGATTAACAATTCGGACCCAAGCATACGGATTGAGTGTGCAATATAATTCAAAGAATCATAAAATGTCTAAAAGTTCACCCTTCAAAGTTTTAATAGAAACCAATAAAAATGTAGTAAGGTACATTTTATAATTGTAATAGAGGATCAATAAAAATTAAAATAAAGAAAAAATACTTTAAAAATAAAAAGGACTAAAAAACCAACTAAATAGCTCAATAATTCAAAAATAATAAACAATTTGGTTCGGTTTGATTTGAATTGAGCGGTTTGAATACCCCTAATTCAAACTAATGTTGTTTTATCAATATTCTTATGTTTTTTATTGAATAAAATAATAAATTAGTAAAGTTTTTGTTTATAAGATATTAGTACAGTGTTTGATGCTAACTAACCCGTTTTACTGAAGCTAGAAGGGGAACTTAGTTTAAATATCAACTAGATTTTAAGTCATGATGAATGCATATTGGCATTGCTATCAGGTTTGAATACTATTTAGTGACAAGAGAAAGATTAGTTTTACTTTTTTTATCCTTTATTGTATTCGTTATTTGACATGTGGACTTTATATCTCATTTTCTGTTAAATAATGGATGCACAAAGTGACAAAATAAGTGACGTTAGCATTTCTCAAATTAATTATTTAATTCTTTTTTACTTTTTTCCTTTCATCATCGTCAGAGGTTAGTGCATACGACTAGATATAACGATTTGAGTTTAAGCACTTAAATTTTCAAAATGATGTGCGGAATTGAGATAAAGTACAAGTTTAAATACATAGGTGGTCAAATAAAAAATGATTTTAGCCAAAAAAAAAAAAAAAGAGAACGAGGAATAAATTAATTCTTCTATCTCTTTATATGATGAGTTGGACTTGTGAACAAAATTGAAACTGCAAAGATTTTTTTTTTTTAAATCTTTTCGGTTTGCAAATAGAGCCAAAGCTTAAAACTTGCATGTAAAAGGCTTCACAATCTTTTTTCTGTTTGTCAAGAAATTTTTGTTAACTCAATAAAATGAATTAAAATCTATGAAATTAATTTTTTTCACATTCATTCACAAAAAAAAAAAAAAAAAAAAAAAAAAAAATCTTTACATTCTTGTTGATGCCCTTGTGGGTATTATTATGAGTCATCATCACTCATGTGACTTTGTAGCTTTGTTCTTTAATTTTTCCGAATGGCTTCAAATCCACTCCAACATTTTCTAAATCTGTAAGCAACTATATCCTTGAGTTTGAAGTTTGCCCTTTAAAACTTTTACAAATGGGCCATGACCTTAATGCACAGGAAAATTACCACCCAAAATCAAATGAATCAGTTAAAACTTAGGTCTCGTTTATTTCACCGATTCGAGTTTTCAGTTTTAAATTTTTACAGTAAAAAACTCTCAGAAAATGTCACATCTAACTTTTTTTACTACAGTAAAAAGCTCTCAGAAAATGTCACATCTCAACTCGAATTGAAAACTCGAATCCGCGAAGTGAATTATTTCAAAAAAAAAAAAATAATAATAAATCTCTAGTAAGCCAAAATGCAATACTACAATCCATCAATATAATTTGATTTTCATGGGGTAAAAAGGTTCTCTTCCCTTTCAACGAGCTAAAATGCATTTTATCACGCTATTACCTCATAAACTTATAAATAATAAGACGTGCTAAAGAATCTTTAGGACCATGATTTATAAGCCTAAAGTCAAATCTCCTCCACGGAAAAAAAAAAATCCAATTTCCAACCCCGAGAGTTTGTGATCAAATGGGTTTAACTTATCAATTCCACGTTGTCGAAGTTGTGACCCCACCATGCTTGAAGTAAATAGCACGAATCCAAGGAACGATGTTTTAAATTAGTGTCAAGATCTTTCATATAAAATACAACGAATGGCAAATTGAAAAGTTGTTCCATTTTACTTCGCAAGGTTATGGCATAATAATGCAAGAAAAAAACCGATGTACTTTTCATTGTCCATAACAATTTTTTTGTCAAACACACACAACATATAGAGTAGTACGTAAACAAAACTCTCCTAAAATGGTATCTATGTATAATCATAACGTGTCACATTTTTTTTAGTTAGTAAGTAAAATCTGATAAAAAAATATATAAGGAAAACAAGAAATTACACCATCTAAAGCAAATCTACTTGCTTTCACAGCTAAAAAAATAAAAAAAAAATGTAAAATAAAAGGGAAATTAAGAAAAAAAGAACAGAAAGAACAGAAAGAGCTAAAGCTAATTCATGTTCTATCAAGAAGTGTTAGAGATAATAAATCAGAGGTTAGAAATTAGTTTTAGCCCAGCTCAGTTTATTAGAAGGTTGTTAGATTATTTGTACACGTGTAAAGTTTTTAGTGGTTTAGATTTGTGATTAGTTAGATAAGAGGCCTTAATAGACTTGTATATAAGCATTATGTACAGTTTCAACTGATTAATGAAGAGCTTAATCTTTCTCTCAAAACTTCTTTCTAGTTCTTTATTATTTATCTAAGTATCAGAGCGTAATCCACCGACGGTTAAGAATCCAGCAACTGGAAAAGCGGCGACGACGACTCAGATTCCGGCGGTGACAGCCATGGCCGATGATGTTTTAAGCTCTTCCCAATCCAAGTTTATTGACACATTTTCTAGGTTCACACGGATATATCTGCTTAGACACAAGTCAGAAGCCTTGCAAAATTTTATCAACTTCAAACAACATGTTGAGTTGCAATTAGGTTACAAAGTTAAATCAGTTCAAACAGACTGGGGTGGAGAATATAGACCCTTTACCGATCTTCTCACTTCTCCAGGTGTCTCTCATCAAAATTCTTGTCCCCACACTCATTAACAAAATAGTCTAGCTGAACGTAAAATGTTAGTTAATCAATCCATCTTAAAAGTATAAGTTATTAGGAGGTGGGTCAATAATAGTTTATACTTTAACATTTCTCTTCACGTGTGGGTTGGACAGTGTCGTGTGGATAAAGAGTGTTATTACGGAAATTTAAACTTAGGATTTCCCACTCTGATACCATGTTAGTTTACTAATTCACCTCAAAAACTTAAATTATTAGGAGATTAGTCAATAATAATTTTATACTTTAACAATTGACATATTGTTGAGACAGGTTTAACCTTCCTAGCCAAAGCTTCAATGCCTTTTAAATATTGGGATGAAGCCTTTAGAACAGCTGTGTATCTTATTAACCGCCTTCCCTCTACTCTTTTACACTACAAAACACCATTAGAAGTCTTATTCAAACGTAAACCTCAGTATACTCAATTAAAAACTTTTGGTTGTCTTTGTTTTCCAAATTTAAAACCTTAAAACCAACACAAGTTTGACTACAAATCTTCTCCTTGTACTTTTATTGGCTATAGCCTTAATCATAAAGGGTACAAATGCTTAGATTTAAAAGACATAATTTACATTTCTAGAGATGTCATTTTTTATGAGTTTACATTTCCTTATGTATCTTCTGTGTCTTCTTCTTCTCCAAGTTCAGTACATGTTTCACCACCTATTGTTCCTTTACAAGTTTTATCCTCTCTGATTCAAAATTCTTGTGTTCCCACTTCTAGTTCACCTTCATCCACTTCTTATCCTGCCTTGTCCGTGCCCACTTCTTCTCCTGTTCCACCTTCTACTGATTTTTCATGTGACACTTCTATGCAGCCTCTATCTACTGTGTGCCTTGATTTACAGGTTCCCACTACTATATCAGAAAAAGCACAGGTTGCTCAAAATACACAATCCATGGTGACTCACGCAAAAAGAGGTGTGTTCAAGCCAAAAGTTTATATTGCCTGCAAGAAACCTGCTAGTCCTTTGGAAGCTCTCCAATCTGAACGGTGGAAGCAAGCAGTGACTAATGAGTGTCTTGCTCTTGTAAGGAACAACAATTGAAGTTTAGTTCCCTTACCGGAAGGAAGAAAAGCAATTAGGTGTAAATGGGTTTTTCATGTTAAAGAAAACTCAGATGGTACAATCAATAAGTTCAAGGCACGTTTGGTAGCAAAAGGGTTTCATCAAGTGTCTGGTTTTGATTTCAATGAGACATTTAGTCCAGTTATTAAACCAACAACAATAAGGGTTGTTCTCACTGTTGCTCTTAGTAGGAACTGGATTATCAGACAACTTGATGTTAATAATGCTTTTTTAAATAGTATTTTACAAGAAGTTTATATGGAACATCCATTTAGTTTTGAAGATCTGAAGCAACCAGACTTGGTGTGTAAATTGCTTAAGTCCTTATATGGACTCAAACAAGTACCTTGTGCTTGGTTTAAAAAGCTCTATCAAGCACTAGTTGAATTTAGTTTTCATTCAGCCAAATCAGATCAATCCTTATTCATTCAAGAAACAGCTCACTGGACTGTGTTTGTACTTGTATATGTTGATGATATTTTAGTCACAGGAAGCAATCAAGAAATTATTCAGCATCTCATTGATCAGTTAATAATAAGTTTGCTCTCAAATACTTAGGAGAAGTTGACTACTTTCTTGAAATTCAGGTTAAGAAGACTGTTAGAGGTTCATCTTACTTAAACTAAATATGTCAAAGACCTGCTACGTAAGACAAAAATGTAGTACTCAAGGAGTGTTACATCACCACTTACAACTGGTCAGAAACTTACTGCTTATGGAAGTGATGAAAGTGTAGGATCCACAACTTTACCGAAGTGTAGTTGGAGCACTACAATATGTAACTATTATCAGACCTGAACTTGCTTATTCAGTGAATCGTGTGTGTCAATTTATGCAAAGGCCTTTGGAAGCTCATTGGAAAACAATCAAGAGGATCTTGAGATATTTGTCAGGAACATTGGACTTTGGTTTGCATCTCACCCACAATTTAAACGCAAATTTGAACTCAATTGCTTTCTGTGATGCTGACTGGGCTTCGGATGCAGACGACAGGAGATCAACATCAGGTTTCTGCTTGTTCTTGGGCTCGAATCTTATTTCTTGGCAATCAAAGAAGCAACATACCGTATCAAGGTCCTCAACAGAAGCTGAGTATAGAAGTCTAGCAAGCTTGGTAGCAGAAATAAGCTGGTTACAATCTCTTCTTTATGAGATAGGTGTTAAAAGTTCAAAGACTCCTATTATCTAGTTTGACAACTTGAGCACAGTTCATTTGGCTGCAAATTCAGTTTTGCATGCCAAGATTATAGGCCCGTTTAGTTCACTGATTTGAGTTTTTAATTTGAGTTGAGATGTGATTTTATGTGAGAGCTTTTTATTGTAGTAAAAAGTTAGACGTGACTGTTTCTGATAGATTTTTACTGTAACAAAACTCAAATTCTAAACTCAAATTGATAAAATGAACGAACCTAAACATGTGAAACTAGACCTTTACTTTGTGCATGAGAAAGTGCTACAAAAAGCAATTGAAGTTAGACATGTGCCTGCCTGCTATAGATCAGTTGGCTGACATTTTTACTAAAGCAATTTCCAGTTCCGCTTTTGGTCGTTTGAGACACAAACTCAGAGTACAAAATTTTTAGTACTCTGATTTGAGGGGGGGATGTTAGAGATAATAAAACAGAGGTTAGAAATTAGTTTTAGCCCAGCTCTGTTAGAAGGTTGTTAGATTATTTGCACACGTGTAAAGTTTTTAGTGGTTTAGATTTGTAATTAGTTAGATGTAAAAAACCTTGACAGACTTATATATAAGTATTATGTACAATTTCAACTGATTAATGATGAGGGTTTGTTCATTTGCATTTTTTGATTAGTGTAACTGGAGTTCAGATTTTAATTTGAGTTAAGGTGTATTTGAGTATAATTTGAGTTGAGACTCTAATTTAAGTTTGTGTTTGGATGTGCACATTTTGAGTTATGGTTTGAATTGAAAATCTATTTGAGTTTGTATTTGGGTGAGTCAAAACTTAAATTTATGGTTAGATAGTATTTTAATAAAAACTCAATAGTGATGAAAAATTTTAATATGATATATAAGTGAGATTTTATTCGTCTCTTCTTCATTGTGAACGCATAAAAAAATAATCTTAATCGGAATTAAAATGAAAGAGTTTTGATGTTTTTAAGAATAAAAAAAAATATTATTTATCAACTTGAGTTTGAGTTGAAGATGAAACTTGAACATATTTTAACTTTAAACTCAAGTTTAAATTCAAATTTTACAAAAAAATATAAACTTAAATAAAATTATAACTTAAGTTCAAATTTTTTTTAAATTTAAGTGTAAATGAACAAGTCGTTAATCTTTCTCTCAAAACTTCTTTCTAGTTCTTTCTTATTTCTCTAGTAAGAAGCAAACCCCAGGAAGCTCATGAGTTGTTCAATACAGAGGTTTGCTTATTTAGCAAACGCGTAGGAATATGCTGAGGTCTTTATTTTTTAACCAATATTCCCAAAATCCCTTTTGACTTTTCAATTCAACTGTAATAACAAAGGTTATTTCCGTAAATTCAGCTCACCTAGTTAGACCGCTTCCGAATACGATTTTACCATCTTACCCTCTCGACACACATGTACTGGCTAGTAATTTCCTAGAAATGGGAGGAGTAGATCTGGGACATGAATTGAGTATTTAAACGAGCTCCGCATTCCTCCCTCTTCATTATAGTTCTCTCCTTCTCTCTTTCGCGTGGAAACACCAGAGCAGGATTTCAGGAGGTAAATTTTCTACCTCGCGATTTCAAATCTTCATTCATGCAATTTTTCTTTTCTTTTTTTCCTTGATTTCGTTCATTTCGATTCGATTTTCTTTGGCACTAAGATGAAATTACGGTATTTTTTCTCGGTTGTGAGGAAAATTCACGGTCGTGTTCGTCTCTGATCTGAATTAGATGTCAGATTTGATTTTCCAGGAAAGAATTTGCCTTTCACTTTTTTGTTGGTAATGGATTAGATTCTGATGTTTGCTTAATGCAGATCTAGCGTCATTTTCGGTTTTGCTTTGTTTTGGTGATCAATTACGGTGTTAAGAATGCAAATTGAGCTGGTTGGCATTGGATCTGATTGAATTATTTGTTATTAATACTGACTATTCTGCAAATCAAGGATTTCGTTCATTTAATTACAGAATTTGCGAACCCGTTGTGCTTTGAAAATGCTCTTTTACCTGTTTTTGATATAATAGTAATTTTGTTGGAAGGAAGTGGTCGGTTTCCGCCTATATGGGGTTAGATCTGGTTTTGTCTTAGCTCTGATTATTTGTCTATTGGGAAAAACGAAATAGCTTTGATTTTCTTTTTCCTTTTGTTTATGTTTGTTCCATAAACGTCCTTCTTTGTCAGGAAGAATGACGTGATCCCGTCGTACGTTTTTATATCCTCCCACTGTCAGTGTTAAATTGTTTTACAACCTGATTTCATACAAGAATTATATGGAATCAAATAAATATCTGTTCTGCTTTTGAACAAGATAGCGAATTTCTTAGTCATTTAGGGCTACCTTTTGTTTTCTAATCCGTTGTGAAAATGGATATGGCAAGAAAAGGATTGTAAGTTTTTGAATCTAAGAGCCTAGATCCTGGAAAATGTCCAATGAGTTGATCATCTGCCCAAAGTATGTTAATGGATTATGGGTGAATGAGAAAGTTTATTTGCTTTTTGAAAGTAATGATTAATAAAAGTGCTTAAGCAAGTTTCACATTTGCATGTTATTGCAACATTGTTCTCTTTATCCTCCTGATCTGTAAAACCTCATTGTGGGCAGGTTATAGACTGATAAAGAAGGAAAGATGGTGAAGATCTGTTGCATTGGTGCTGGATATGTTGGGGGCCCTACAATGGCGGTGATTGCACTTAAGTGCCCCGATATTGAAGTGGTCGTTGTTGATATCTCCGTGCCTCGGATCACAGCCTGGAACAGTGATCAGCTTCCCATCTACGAGCCTGGCCTCGATAATGTGGTGAAGCAATGCCGTGGCAAGAACCTGTTCTTCAGCACTGATGTCGAGAAACACGTGTCGGAGGCTGATATAGTCTTCGTCTCTGTCAACACCCCGACCAAAACTAGAGGTCTTGGAGCAGGCAAAGCTGCAGATCTGACATATTGGGAAAGTGCGGCTCGCATGATTGCTGATGTTTCGAAGTCTGACAAGATTGTGGTTGAGAAATCCACAGTCCCTGTCAAAACAGCTGAAGCCATTGAAAAGATTCTGACCCATAACAGCAAGGGAATCAAGTTCCAAATCCTTTCAAACCCAGAATTCCTTGCCGAGGGAACTGCAATTCAAGATTTATTTGCCCCAGACCGTGTTCTTATTGGAGGCAGGGAAACCCCTGAGGGCGAGAAAGCCATCCAAGCATTGAAGGCTGTTTATGCACACTGGGTCCCAGAAGATCGAATTTTGACCACCAATCTGTGGTCTGCTGAGCTCTCCAAGCTTGCTGCCAACGCCTTCTTGGCCCAGAGAATTTCCTCTGTCAATGCCATGTCTGCTCTCTGTGAGGCTACTGGGGCCAACATCTCAGAGGTGTCATATGCAGTTGGCAAGGACACAAGGATTGGACCCAAGTTCCTTAACGCTAGTGTTGGTTTTGGTGGATCCTGCTTCCAGAAGGATATATTGAATCTGGTTTACATCTGCGAATGCAATGGCCTTCCGGAGGTGGCAGAATACTGGAAACAGGTCATCAAGATCAATGACTATCAGAAGAACCGCTTTGTGAACTGTGTTGTTTCCTCCATGTTTAACACGGTCTCCAACAAGAAGATTGCTATTCTGGGGTTCGCATTCAAGAAAGATACTGGTGACACAAGAGAGACCCCAGCCATTGATGTGTGCAAGGGCCTATTGGGTGACAAGGCCAGGCTGAGTATATACGATCCACAGGTCACTGAGGACCAGATCCAGAGGGACCTCACAATGAACAAATTCGACTGGGACCATCCTCTTCACCTGCAGCCAATGAGCCCGACCACTGTGAAGCAAGTCAATGTGGTTTGGGATGCTTATGAGGCGACCAAGGATGCTCATGGTGTTTGCATCCTGACTGAGTGGGATGAGTTCAAGACTCTTGACTACAAGAGGATATATGACAACATGCAGAAACCGGCATTCATATTTGACGGTAGGAATGTCGTCGATCGGGAGAAGGCTCATAAAATTGGCTTCATTGTATACTCCATTGGCAAGCCTCTCGATGCATGGCTCAAGGACATCCCTGCTGTGGCATAGAGCAGATGTGAGGTGAAAGTGGCCTTCTTCTGGGGGTCATACATTCATACCTTGAGTCACCCAGTTTAATTCTTTACAATTTTTTTTAATGGGTTTTTGTTATTTCTCACTTTCCCATAGTGGGTCAGAATAGTGATGCGACTTTGGTGAAAGTAAGAGACTCTACGTTTTGCCTTGCATCGAATTCCTTGTTGTTACATTACTGTATGTTACTTTTTGTTAGAAGACATTATATTATATATTGTTGGTTCAGTCTTCCATCATAATTAGAATGATTTAATTCTATAAACTATTTCCCCCCTTTCTTTTGTTGAGCCGGGTGTTTTTTTTTTTTTTTTTTTTTTTTTTTTTTTTTTTTGAAAAATTCATTCAACATTTTCCCAACCTGAAAAAGTTTGCGTACTTCGTAAGCAAAGCGTCGAGCCAAATAAGCTTTTTTGTTTCTTGGTTTATTGTTGCAGATATATGACTTGAAATAAGCCATGCTTTGATTATATTTATGCATAAATTTCTGTGTTAAATTAGGTGAGGAGCAAAGTGCGAGCCTAGTCATTTGTGGGCCTACCTTAAGTTAGGTCTACAACAATGCATGGGCGACCATAACCTTAAATTAGATCATCGGTTCAAATTTTATAATTTTAAGAAGAATTCTAACAGATCCCTTCAGATAATTGATCTTTAAAATTTAGGTAATCTTAACAAATACTCTTTAAAAGTGCATGGGTCAGGATTTTACTCTTTACTCTTGATTCATAATCTTTTTTGTCAAATAATTACACTAATAAAAGGGTATTTATCAAGAGTAAAAAATAAAAGTCCAGACTCATACATTTTTAAGGATAAATTCTTCATTTTTTACTAAAAAAATTTCTATCGGATCCATTCCAAACTAACTCTCTGTAAATGGGTGCGCATTGCTTTTGACCATTATGAAATCTGAAGATTGCGGCAAATATGAAGAATAGAGTAGTGCAACTACTCGATATTCATGCTCATGAATTAGTTAAGTGGGGTTTCATAAACTCTACGAAGCCCTACTTGCATGTCTATCGTTTTCATTGAGAATTCTAAAATCGAAACGACACACATAGTTTCAAAAATCTTTTTTATTTTATTTTTTATTAACGAACAGAAAAGGTAAATGTCAATCAATAGAATAAGCAAAGAACTTGAAATTTTTACTACATCTAAATAGAGGGATATATCCCTAGTCAAATTCACTGTCAAGACACTTGACACCCTCATCAATCTCTCAGCAAGAAAACAATAACTCTCCATACCTAAATGACATTTCAATTTCACACTAATTTTCTAAGAAAACAAGCACTCTCTAAAACCTTCAGTACAAAGCAAAAATTCTTCGAGAATTTTACTCTCAGTTCTCACATATAAAAAGATCATTATACCCAAGTTATATGGCTTTCTTAAGCATTCTATTTATAATACAATGGGAGCCAATAATAATTAGACAGCTGAAGTAACTAATTATACTGCAATCTTATTATAACTAGCTATAATAAACTCTTTATTCCTTAATTAACGTTGCTCCTTAATGATCAATTAATTAAAGACTTGCAATCTACAAATCTTCATCTTGTCTCTAATCAATAAATAAATAAACAGCTTACTTAAACTAGAGATCCCTAATTCACTGAAAAAAAAAAAAAAAAAAAAAAAAAAAAAAAAATT